TATACATATATACATATATATACATATATACATATATATACATATATACATATGTATATATGTATATGTATATTATATATGTATATGAGTATGTATATTATATATACATATATAATATATATACATATATATATATATAAATATATCAATACTTTTTTCTTCTTTGTTCGGCTTCTCCCTTCTTCAGGGGTCGCCACAGTGAACTAACTCGCATGAAGGCTCAGGATTATCGACAGCCCTCTGTGTGGAGCAGGGAGCTGCCAGCTAGGGTGCCTGGGGGAGCAGATGTTGGGGGTTAAGGGCCTTGCTCAAGGGCCCAGGGTGGGACTAATGAGGGTGGAGGCAGGTGTGAGTGTTTCACTTTTTTGATGTCGTTTGGAGAGTTGAGCCGGCGACCGTCCGATTGCAGGCCCACTTTTTCTAACCTCTGCGCCACCACTCCCACTATTTACACATATCAATACAAGTTATATACTGGTAATGGTAGTAATATCTACAATAGTTTTGGGCATAGTTCTTAGAATAATTGTGAAGGGCTCTCCTACAAACACTTGAAGATTTGTTTTAAAATTAAAACTAAGCATTTCTTGAAGGATTGCTTGCCATGTTTTGTGCCAGTTTTAAACAAAGATGAAAAAGCAGGTTTATGATAGATGTAGATGAACATATCCTGAGATATTCACCTGATTAAAACGGATTCTTTCATTTTTCTGGACTGAATATAAACGTGCATTGAATTTAATAAAATGTAACGTGAGACATTATTTATCTTTGACCCATCAAAATGAATGTGGTCATTTATTTACAGAATCAAAGTTTAACATCAAACATTTACATTAATTTGGCAAAATATGAAAATAACAACATAATTAATCAGCAAGCAGTACAATTATGATCAACCACATGGCGGTGATTGGAAGACTTTACACAGACATTTCTAAATTATCTGGAATGATTTCTACTTGATAGAAGAATTTAAAGATGGAAAATGAAGTTTAAAGGGAGTAAAAGATGGTGTGTGAGGGAGAGTGTTGACCAGAAACGACACTCTCCATTCGAACCCAGCTTTCCTCGGTACGCTCGGTAGTGAACTTGACTCGTTACCTCTCTGAAGATGAATCAGCGGATACGGAGTTCCAGTTAACGCTACCTGTCCAGCGTCTCCATAGGATGGCTGTGACTCGTCCGAAGTAGTGACGATATTCCGTCTGACACAAGTTCACCTCAGCCAGTGGACTTCACATGAGTGGGGTTCGTCCGAGTTCCACTCAGAGGTGGAAGATGTTATAATCCCAATCTCGGAAGAGCCTTATCATGGCTGGACTTCTGTTCTCCCAAACGACTGGAGCTGCAAACTCTCCGGCCCGACTCCAACGGCAACTCACAGAACTGGAGAACTAGGAAGTGCCGACATTTTAAAGAGCTCTATTTCCGGTTCATTTGGGAGTTTTCTTATTGGTCAATGTCGACCAGACAGGGGTGTGTTTTGTGACGTAAAAGGTTACTAGAAGTCAGAAAACAGCAAGAATGTTATGGAACAGATTGAAAATGTTTTTCAGACAGGCGAGAGAAATGTTTGGGCGAGTTTGGAGAAACAGGTGCCAACTTCTCTGTTTACGTCTGAGAGGATTTAAAAACAAGACAGTTGTTCCAACACTTGTCTGCTTCGTTTCCGACCTTGGAACAAACGTACATTGCTCATTCAAAGACAGAAAATCAGAAAATGCATAATTACTCTGTAACAGGCCTTAACATGAATTCTAACTTTGCATGAGGATTAAAAATCATTGTTACTGTTTTCACAGTTAATTAAAATTGATTAGTTCACTGTAACATCTAAAATGTTTGAACTAAAACACTTTGATTATCAAACATTTGTAAAACAGTAATGATAATAGAAAAGAGAGTGTTCTTTCACTTGAATTTTCAAGAAAGAAAGTCTCAGGATGGGTGAACCTGTATTTCTGGATTCAAATCAATGAAATGATAGTTTCTGTCCCATATGGTCCTAAGGTCAAGTTTTGACATCAGGTCAAGTTCACTACATAGATACAGTAGATAAAATGGCGTACAACCACAAGGCTTATTTTTCACTAAATTTGTGAAATCCTTAAATTGCTGATCTAAAAGGTTCTCATAAATGAAGCAAAGTACAGCTGAAAGTGGTGAGAATGTCCTTTATTGTCTTGAAAACACCAGCCTGTGTCAGTACTTGAAACACTCTACACTGTACAGTGTTGTAATGGTGGCACTGGAGGGAAAAACTACAGAACCAATCAAATAAAGACGTGTCATCCCACAATCCCATAAATAGTCTATATTTTGTTTTAAAGTATGTTTTATATATTAAAGATATCTAGCTTAAAATGGGGTTATGTGGAACCTTATGAAGAGTTAGCATCTTACCTGTTGTTAGCTCTTAGAATGACCTCACTTTGAAGAAAAAAGTTTAAGTCTGACAGGGCTGATGAGCTAATGGCTAGTCTGAACAGAGTGCTCTAATCTCAAAAATGTCAGAGGGTCATCTGCAACAGGTAAGATATTAAATGTTTATAATTTTCCACAGAACCCCACTACAAAATGACCCTTTAATATTCAAAACAGATTATGTTGTTCTAATTAATTTTCCTTTTTGTATGTTTTTTCCCCTCTTGCTGTCTATATCAGCGGTATCGGAACAAGATTCATGACAATCTCATTTCTGCCTGCAGGAGTCTTCACTCCTTGTGCACTCATCAGAAAATGTTTCTCTCAACGCCCGTGATGAAAATGGAAACGTTACAGGACGGATATCTGTGGGTAAGGAGACATGCTGGTGAAGATTCTCAGTCGTCCAGGACATGATAAATTCAAAAAGTGTTCAATACAAAAACAACTGGACTTTATTTGTAACAGAAGACGTTTCGCTCCTCATCCGAGGAGCTTTCTCAACTCAAACAGCAGTGAGTGAGTGATTCAGGTTATAAGGCTGAATGAGATAAGACACACATATGTAGATTGGCAATTCACACCTAAACACCTTAACAGTAGGGGTTACTCTAATTCAGGAGACATGTCCACAAAAAGACATACAGCACACATTCACATCTGCATGATGTATGAGGGTGAATAAAACCATTCATGGACCTGTCCTGCTGGGATTTTTCATCTAACATTGTCAGAGTCAGAGATTCTTTATTGTCATTTGTATCACATGTAGTACACGTGGTGGAGCAAAATTATGTACACAGGGTCCCAGTTACATCCAACAATAAAATGTAAAAGAAAAACAATAACATCTAAGATGTGAACTAAGAAAAACATCAACTAAAAATACAACTAAGCATCAACTATTAATTAACAATTAACAGAGATAATAAGCCATTCGCCACTTTATAATCTCTTAGATTTCCATTTAAAAGCCATTAAACACAAAGTTACTGTCTCTGCTGTAGCTTCTGGATTGTTTCGTCTTGCTCAAGGGGCTCAGGAATTGGGGCATGTGGATTTTTTGTACATCTTTTCGCTCTCCAGTGGCCGCATTGGGACATTTTATTATGATTAAGTCAAGTCAAGTCAAGTCATCTTTATTTGTAGAGCACAATTTAAAACAGATAAACTGTTATCAAAGTGCTTAAATGATTAAAAGGCCATCAAATGACCTGGCTAATTATTGTATTCCACACCACCATTATCATTACGTCATAAAAATCACAGCCTGTAATCTCTTGGCCCTCGAAGCATAAAACTGAAACTCTTGTTTGGGAAGACTGTGTGTTGGTTCACAGTTGTAGACACACGTGGGTTAAACAACACACTGAAGGACCCGCCTGCAGCAGATCTATGTCTAAAAGGGTTGTGGAGACAGCTGTAGGGAAAGGCAAATTGAACATGCAACAATGAGGAGCCTTGAAGTGGAAACTTTAATGTCAAGTCAAGTCAACTATATTTATAAAGCACATTTAAAACAGAAGCTGTTAAAGTGCTAAACTGCTGGACGGAGGAGTCAGGATCAGCTGTATTAACATGTTCTCACAGGATGGAGGGAGAGAGCCACCTGTCAGCGTGGCAGCATTGATGTCACTGGTGGAGCAGCTGTGGTGCGTGGGGGGGCAAATTCAAGAAAAAGGTCCAGATATCGAAGCAGGGGTCATTCACAGTGAAGCAGAGAACACAAACCTGAGCCAAGTCGTGATCTGTAGGCGTAGTTGTAGAAGGAGGAAGGCAGAGTCATTACCATGGTCAGAGAGGCAGACAAATCCAAGAGGAGCAGGCAAGACAAAGAATCCATGGTACAGGCGTGAGGTCGAAACAAGGCAAGGTAATCCAAGCTGTAGCATGAAACAGGAAACTATGAAGGCTTGATATAAGGGTCATGGAAGGTATAATAATTCGGTCCTGGTGGGTTGTGGACAGGAAGTTTATGAAGAGCAGAAAACAGGTGGCTGGCATGAACAGTGATTGCAGAGTGGGGGTGGTGCTTTATGAATGGAGCAGAGAGAACTTGCTATGATGGGACAGAACCAAGGCAAAAAGGCAGGTGAACAGGTGCATGGAATGAAGGCTGATTACTGTGGAGAAAACAAGGGAGGCGTGGGATGGAGTGAAGGGCACAGGCTTAAGATGAAGGATGGGTGATTGGCAACACAGCAGGGAAACAGAAACAATGGCATGAGGGTCAGAAACTATGGCAGGTGACATGGGCATAAGAGCATGAAGGCAGGATTATGGCAGGATGTGTCGAAACATGGCATGAGGAGCAGAGGCGTGAGCAGATGAGGGGTTACAGCTCCAGCCACGATCTAAGGCTACTGTGGTCAACAGTATCAAAAGCAGCAGTACAGCCCAGGAGTACAAGTACCACAGGTTGACCATAATCATTTGCTAACAGAATGTCATTACAAACCTTCACTGAAGCTGCTTCAATGCTGTGAAGTTGTTTAAAACCAGACTGAAAGATCTCAAAAATTCACTTCCCATTCAAAAACTTATTCAGTTGAATGAAAACTATTTTCTCCAGGATTATGGAAAGAAAGGGAAGTTTTGAGATTGGACTAAAGTTTGAGCAAGTTGAAGGGCCAAGTCCAGGTTTCTTAATTAATGGATTAAGTACTACACATTTAAAAACATCAGGACCACACTTGTAGCAATACTGCTATTTATAATATCAATAACAGAGGGTCCAATCAATGGTAAAACTTAATGGGGTCACTTGTTTCTCTGTTAAAACACTTTACATCTATGTATTTTCATAACTTAAAACTAAAGAGAAATCATATTTTCAGTAGATAGACAGTATCAGGCATGACAGTGAGAGCACGAAAGAATCCCTAAAAGAATCTGATATTTAAAGGGATTAAGTTAAAATGTAAGGAAGTTTATATATTTCATGAGAACATTTTATTCATGTGTCATTGCCAGACCCCTCTAGTTGTTTCTGTTGTTGCTGCAGGTCCAAAAGAAGCTCAGGGACACACTCGAGATCTGCTCATTAACTCCCACAACGACCACATGCTGTTCAGTGCAGACGGCGAGCACTCTGTGATTGGGCCGGACAAACTTCGAGTTACAGGTACTCCTGTGGATGCAGGGCTGTTTTCACACACACACACACACACACCTGTTGGCTGCAGGGTGGAGGTGTAACACTGACAACAGATGTTAGCAGAAGCAACTGGGTTTGAAGGCAAATATCTGAGCAACAGTCTGGAAATGGAGCTTGGTGGCATATAAGTTATTCGTTAAAGTTGTAACAAGGCCATCTTTGAACTTTCACCCAAAGAAATGATTTTAAAACCAAAATGATGCTTAGGCTTGTTTACAGAGGATGCAGGAGACGGTGTTCCAGAGTACCATATAAAAATTTAAAACACTTTAAAATCAGATTAAAATTAAAGGCAGTTTGTTATAACAAAAACCAATAAAGAACTCAGTCAAGGCTGAGGCTTTCCAGTGGTCGGTCAACTATAAACAAAAGGATGGCTCCACAAACATCATTGGGAAGGACCCCGTCACCCATCGCGCACAAAACCAGAGAGCCAACACAAGACCCTGGACTGCCACCATCAGCTCTGAGCCTGGAACAAAGAGGGGGAAAAATTGAACAAATTGGAACTAAATGTGGATGATGGTGAATAAATGTAACAAAATTAAGATAATATGTATGGGGTGCCGTTTGTAAAGTCACATAAGCAAAAATAAACAGCAATATTTTGGTTTATTTAGCCTTTCACAAGAAAACTACAAACCGGATTCCAAAAAAGTTGGGACACTAAACAAATTGTGAATAAAAACTGAATTCAATGATGTGGAGATGGCAAATGTCAATATTTGATTCATAATATAACATAGATGACAGATCAAAAGTTTAATCTGAGTAAATGTAACATTTAAAAGGGAAAATATGTTGATTCAAAATTTCACAGTGTCAGCAAATCCCAAAAAAGTTGGGACAAGTAGCAATAAGTGGCTGGAAAAAGGAAATTGAGCATATAACGAAGAGCTGGAAGACCAATTAACACTAATTAGGTCAATTGACAACATGATTGGGTATAAAAAGAACTTCTCAGCGTGTCAGTGTCTCTCAGAAGCCAAGATGGTAAGAGGATCACCAATTCCACCATTGTTGCACAGAAAGATAGTGCAGCAATACCAGAATGGTGTTACCCAGCGTAAAATAGCAAAGACTTTTAAGTTATCATCATCAACCGTGCATAACATCATCAAAAGATTCAGAGAATCTGGAACAATCGCTGTGCGTAAGGGTCAAGGCCGTAAAACTCTACTGGATGCTCGTGATCTCCGGGCCCTTAAACGTCACTGCACCTCAAACAGGTATGCCACTGTCAAGGAAATAACAGAATGGGCTCAGGAATACTTCCAGAAAGCATTGTCAGTGAACACAATCCACCGTGCCATCCGCCGTTGCCAGCTGAAACTCTACAGTGCAAAGTGGAAGCCATTTCTAATCAAGCTCCACAAGCTCAGACGTTTGCACTGGGCCAGGGGTCATTTAAAATGGAGTGTGGCAAAATGGAAGACTGTTCTGTGGTCAGATGAGTCACAATTTGAAGTTCTTTATGGAACACTGGGACGCCATGTCATCTGGACCAGAGAGGACAAGGATAGCCCAAGTTGTTATCAATGCTCCGTTCAGAAGCCCTGCATCACTGATGGTATGGGGTTGCATGAGCGCTTGTGGCATGGGCAGCTTGCATGTCTGGAAAGGCACCATTAATGCAGAGAACTATGTTCAGGTTCTAGAACAACATATGCTCCCATCTAGATGTCATCTCTTTCAGGGAAGACCCTGCATTTTTCAACACAATAATGCCAGACCACATTCTGCAGCAATCACAACATCATGGCTACGTAGGAGAAGGATCCGGGTACTGAAATGGCCAGCCTGCAGTCCAGATCTTTCACCTATAGAGAACATTTGGTGCATCACAAAGAGGAAGGTGCCACAAAGAAGGCCCAAGACGATTGAACAGTTAGAGGCCTGTATTAGACATGAATGGGAGAGCATTCCTATTTCTAAACTTGAGAAACTGGTCTCCTCTGTCCCCAGACGTCTGTTGAGTGTTGTAAGAAGAAGGGGGGTGCCACACAGTGGTAAAAATGGACTTGTCCCAACTTTTTTGGGATTTGTTGACGCCATGAAATTTGGAAACAACAGATTTTTCCCTTAAAAATGATACATTCTCTCAGTTTAAACTTTTGATCTGTGATTTGGGTTCTATTCTGAATAAAATATTAGATGTTGGCACCTCCACATCATTGCATTCAGTTTTTATTCACAATTTGTTTAGTGTCCCAACTTTTTTGGAATCCGGTTTGTAAATTCATTCAACCTTTATTTAGACAGGTAAATCCCATTGAGCCTCGAGGACTCATTTACAAGAGAGACCTGAGTTCAACAAAGAATGATGACAACAATAGACAACCACAAAAAGGCATACAGATTTTTTTTGCAAATATGATGGCAAAAAAAGTAACAAAAAACAACTAGATTATAAAGCAAATGTAGAAAACTAAAAACAGGAACATGTCTGCATTGGCCCCTGCCAGGAGTCCAACTGATTCTTAAAGCCACTTAGAGAGGTCAAGGTTGAGAGCTTCAGATCTTTTTGTAAGATATTCCAGGAAACCGGAGCAGAGTAGGAGAAGGCCCTTTTGCCAAGTTCAGTCTGCACTGAGGGAACACTGCAGGTAATAATGTCCTGAGAGTGCACGCTGTAGCTGCACTCACGCAGAGATATGTAGGAGGAGTTGTATGAAGGCAGCAGACCAAGAAGTGATTTAAAGAAATGGGTTTTGTTTTTCAAAGTCATATTTTCACCGTTTTATTCATACATTTATAAATGCCATACTTCCAAAATAAATGTTTAATTTGCTAACTAAATATTTAGCTTCGACCTAAATATTTAGCTAGCAAGTTAAATTTTTATTTTAGTAAATTAAATGTTTAGTTTGTAAAATATACAGTACATTTAGGTCTGAACTAAATATTTAGTTAGTAAATTAAATATTTAGTTTAGGAATTAAATGTTTAGCTTAGAAATTAAATGTTTAGTTCAGAAATTAAATATTTATCCTGGACAAAAAATATTTTAGTTTGGAAATTGAATGTTTAGTTTTGAAAATAAATATTTAGCTTGTAAAATAAATATTTAGTTTGGAACCATGACATTTATAAATGTATGAATAAAATGGTGAAAATATGACTGAAAAAACAAAACCCATTTTTTATCTTATGAAAAGCTAAATAAACCAAAATATTGCTGATATTTTTTGACTGTGTAACTTTACAAATGGCACCCCATAAATATGGGCCTTACAATAATAATTACAATAATACACACATACAAACACAAATAAAATGGCCCCAGGATTTGCATCAGTCCGTCTTATCGGGCTGCCTGATTACAGCAAATCAAGATGGCTGTGGGAACTAACAAAAACAGGTCCAAAGAGCCAGGATCCAGCTGCTGAACCAGCTGACCCGGAGTGAACAGAGACAAAATTAAACAAAGTTAAAACAAAGCATAAAAGAACACAAAGCAAACATTTGATGAATGATGTACAGTGGTTGGATAAAAGAAAACGTTTCAAGTTTTTTTTATCCGTCCAGAAGACCTGACTTAACTTTGTTAGATTTACACTGGTGCTTGAAAGTTTGTGAAGCCTTTATAATTTTCTATATTTCTGCATAAATATGACATAAAACATGATCAGATTTTCCCACAAGTCCTAAAAGTAGATGAAGAGAACCCAGTTAAACAAATGAGACAAAAATATTAAACTTGGTCATTTATTTATTGAGGAAAATGATCCAATATTTCATATTTGTGAGTGATAAAGTATGTGAACCTTTGTTTTCAGTACCTGGTGTGACCCTCATGTGCAGCAATAACTGCAGCTACATGTTTCTGGTAACTGTTGATCAGTCCTGCTCACCTGCTTGGAGGAACTTTAGTCCATTCCTCAGTACAGAACAGCTTCAACTCTGGATGTTGGTGGTTTCCTCACATTAACTGCTGCTTCAGGTCCTTCCACAACATCTGGAGTCAGGACTTTGACTTGGTCATTCCAAAACATGAACTTTATTCTTCTTGAACCATTCTTTGGTCGAACCACTTGAACCCCACAAAAAAGATTTTTTTTCTAACAGCCATTCCTTTTTCTTTAGAGCTGTGGTAAAGTGGTTGCACCTCCCTCTAACAGGAGTTTTCCTGTCTCCTCTGGAGCATATAGACATTCTTTCCACATTTTTATCTATTCTCTTACCTTGTCTGATTAAAGATACTTTTTAATGCATATTTATATATGTATGAATATTAAAGGCTTTGCATGCCTTTAAGAACTGCCTATCACCTGCTGCCTGTCAGGCCAACATTTTAAACTGACATAATCAATGATAAGGGATAGAGTTATACCATTTACTGTGCATGATGTTATGCTCAATCTCCTGTGGGAGCTTGTGAAACATGTTAGATCTCAAAGTATGTGTTAAGGATGTCTCTCAGCTACTACCACACCCAGTTTGAGCCCATTATCTGTAAAATTGATTGAGATATAGCCAGTTTTGTGTTTTCAAAGTTCATTTAATTGCATTAGCCAATTTCAATGAGGTTGACTTCAAAAGTTACCATTTGTAATGTACATCCAATGATTACTTTCTGAGAATATTAACTGTTTAGTGGTCCATGAAATATTTACTAACAGACAGACAAGTGAACGTGTAGACATGAGCAAAAACATTCTTGGCCTTTTGCCTTAGGCTTATAAGAATTATAACATGAGCAGTTTACATCTTGAGCCAACAACAGACAATATATCTCATTACATTACAGTATATCATGTGGATAAAATTGAAAAACGTCAGGTTTTCTCACATATCTTAAGATTTTAGTGAAACATACCTTTAATTCAGCCTTGTTTGTTTTTGTCCGTCCATCAGGTCCTGAAGGAGCTCTGTTCCAGCACTCAGTGGAGGTTCCTCTACTGAAATCAGAACCTTTCACAGACTTGAAGTAAGTACATCTGCTTTGTCATATTGTTGAATAAAAAAAACATTTTAACAAAACATGTGCAAGCAATTATCAGGAAAACTTTCAACACTCCTCCCAGTAAACACACATTAGCTTTTGAATAAGTTAAAAATGTTAATGCTTTACTTCGGACTTTAAACTATGTCTATTAAATTCTGACACATTTCCTGAATCACCTCGATGGGTTTGTAACACAGAGACTTGTCTGGTTGTAGGTTGGAGTGTCCTACACGCTCTGTGAGTTTGGACGCACCCAAAGGAGTTCATATCAAAGCTCTGGCTGGAAACATTGAAGCTGCTTCCAATATGGACGTTATCCTCCAGTCAAGTGAGGGTCTGGTAAGAACAAACCTAAAGTAATATTGTCTTTACATGACCGACGGTGAAGCATCATCTCAAAACAAGCAATAAATATTGAAGCAGCCTTATCCATTTATGCCTATGAAGTTGCATTCACCAACGTGTTCGCACAGCAAAATACAGATTATGATACTAAATATGTCATAAGCGGTGCACCCAATGGTGCAGGCAGGACACTAACTCCGGAATGTGAAATGAATATAATTTATTAAATAAACATGCTTACGTGGCAGCAAAACTCCCATTTACAGGTGATCCTGGGAAACACAGGGAGTGAGGTAGACATGAGACACTGACCAGCTGACGAGGAACAGTAGACATAGACTTGTATACAAATACCGTATTTTCCAGCGTATACGTTGCAATTTTTTGCATAGATTTGTCAGTCCTGCAACTTATACGCCAAAGTGACTTATATACTTTTTTTATATTTACAACACAAATTTTGACTGACACTTTAAATTTTGAAGAACTGAAACAGCAAGTCCTCTTGTGCACACTCGCTTCACTCAGCTGGTGCAGGCGGAGGAACGTTGGAGAGCTAGCTGCTCCTGCCGTGATGGATGTATGCATGTATGCATATATGTATGTATGTATGTATGTATGGATAGATGGATGTATATATGTATGTATGTATGTAT